TGGATGTTTGTACCAAGAAATTGACTGAAGTTAGGAAGTTAAATGCATGAGGTCTCAAATACACATCAGCTGGCCTTAGGAAATATTGACACCTGGCTATCAGATGCCACCCATGATGAGATGTGTGATGACTGCATTTGAAAACTCATAGGGACAAGCAGCCACATTGCAGCTTTTAAAATATGTTCTCCCTAAAGCTTCAGACAGTATTAAACATGGTCTGGTATGCCATGGGAATCTGCTATGGATCTATTACAATATATGATAAATAAGAAACAGAATGAGAAGTTCCTATGTTAGAGTAAGATAATGGTCGCATTATCTTTAGTGCAATAAAGATTATATTAGAAACATCAGCATAAGTTGTATGTCACTAAAATAATCTGTGTTGACTCCGGCATTACCCCCATTTACTGTAAATCATCATATGGAGTGACATAAAAATGCAATTTGTGCCCTCATCTGAATCCATATCAGTGGTTCCCAAACGTGGATAGGTGTTAGTATCAACTCTACAGCTTGTTACAAATATACTTATCTTAAGGGCCAGTGTTGTAGCACAATGGGTTAGGCCACCGCCTGTGTTGCCAGCATCTCATTGGAGCACCAGATTAAGTCCTGGCTGCTCCGCTTTCCATCCAGCTCCCTGTTAATGCGCCTGGGAAATCAGCAGAAGATGGCCCAAGTGCTTAGGTCCCAGCATCCACGTGGGAGACCCAGAAGGAGTTCCTGGCTCCCTGTTTCGGCCTGGCCCAGCCCCGGCCATTGTGGTCATTTGGGGAGTGAAACAATGGATAGAATCTCTCTCTCTCTCTCTCTCTCTCTCTCTCTCTCTCTCCCTGATTCTTCCTCTCTCTCTGTAACTCTGACTTTCAAATAAGTAAAAAAAAAAACCTTTTAAAAATATGATTTATAAAAAAAGTACATATCTTGGGTTCCACCCTAGGAGGCCGTGACTCAGCATTTCTGTGTAGAGGGCTGACTGAGCATCCGAGCTCCAGCCTTAGGAACTACTGCTTCCTGGAGGCTGGCTTTTCAGAATCTTTTTCATGGAAATTACAGTGGGGCCTGCTCACAGCTTCCTGGGTAGTAGTTGAGAGAAATGAAGGAAGCAGACAAGAAGAGCGTTTCACTTATGAGAATAGCCAAGGAGCAGTAAGTTGAGTTGTCAAAGTACTGGTAATCCTGCCTTGTGGTCAGTGATAATGTTCCCTAAATACTCTTTAAAGAACATGAAAATAATCTTGCAATTGTCAGCAATCCCTTACTGATAAATGATTCTTTGTCAGGAACATTTTGCTCTATGAAGTTAGAAGATATTGGTCCCACAAAAATAAGCCCTGTTTTTTGGTGTTATAGGAATGAGTGAAGCAGTAGCATCCAAATATCCACTCCCCAGATTCCCATATGAAAACCTTAAGATGGGGTTCTGATATTTTTTGAAGGATATCCAGTAGAGGGGCCAGCGCTGTGATGCGGAAACTAAGCCTCCGCATGCGGCACTGGCATCCCATGTGGGGCACCAGTTTGAGTCCTGGCTGCTCCACTTCCAATCCAGCTCTCTGCTGTGGCCTGGGAAAGCAGTAGAAGATGGCCCAAGTGCTTGGGCTCTTGCACCTTCGTGGAAGGCCCTCCTCGTTCCTGGCTTCGGATAGGCCCAGCTCTGGCTGTTGCAGCCATTTGGGGAGTGAACCAGCAGATGGAGGACTTTCTGTCTCTCCCTCTCTCTGGAACTCTGTCTCTCAAATAAATAAATTTTTTTTTAAAAAAAGAAACTTGTCGCTCCCCCTCTTCGTGGAGGAACGACACAGGACCCTGCGCTGTTCTTTCGTCTGCTCGGCCCTCCCCGGGTTTGCTGCTGGTTCTTCCCGGGTTGGCTACTATCCCTTCCACCTCCGTGGAAGGGCAGTTCCCCCTGGCCACATTCCCCACTTCCGCAGGGAAGCGGCACACCGCCAGCCGGCTCTTCTCGGGGGCTGCACAGGTGTTCCCCTTAGATGTTCCCCATAGATGTTCCTGGTGCATGCCGTCTCTCTCCTCCTTTATAGTCCTCCTCCGCCAATCCTAACTCGGCTGCCCACACGCCGAGTACGCTGCTCTCCTCCAATCAATAGCAAGTCCTACAGTTTATTAGTTGAACTGGAGGCAGCTGTGCGGAAGCTGTTTACTTCTCTCCCAGCGCCATATTGTGGGAGAGCAGATGCATAGAATAAGTCTTAATTCCAGTAACTCAGTCTAGTCCGGTTGCTCCCCACAGAAACTATTATGAGCAACCAATTGATCAGTCCATATGGGTAGTGTAAGAGATAAACAAACACATTTTCTTCTCCTACACAGTCAACACAACACTTTGACAGCAGATGCGTGTGTGTGTGGACGGGGTGTTCCCCACACAACAAACAATTCCCCCGCAGACACAGAGTGGGTGTTCTACAGCTATACTCGATTCTGACACTGGCGTTGGTGTCAGTTCTCACAGCTGAGGACTCAGGCCCACAGTCTGCCTCCCACTTCAGACACCAAGCACAAGTAGGTCGTCCCCTTGCACTTCTGACCAGCTGGCTGTAAGCCTGGGTAAAAATCAGCGTTCCCACAAACCTCTCCTCAGGTTTGAAGACTTTGCTGGAATTGGGTGGGGGGAGCCAATGTAATCCATAAGCTGTACTTTGGAAATCTATATTCATTAAATAAAAGCTAAAAAAAAAAAAAAAAAAGACTTTGCTGGAGCAGCTCACAGAACGCAAGGAAATGTATTATTCAGATTTACCATTTATTACAAAGGTTGTTACAAAGAGGAAAGCGGTAGGGGTCCGGGGACTCGTGAAGCTTGGATTCAAGCCCTCTGTGAGAGCCGATGCGCCGGCTGGGCCCCAGGTGGATAAAATCGGTGTTTTCCCGGTGCTCTGACCGGTACTCAGAGGGTGCTCAGCATGGACCCGTCTCTCCTTCAGGACCCTTGACTCCGATGCATGCATCTCTGTTCTGGGTGGAGTTACAACCAAAACACGCAGAACCAAGAGACCCCTGACGTCATAGGGTTTCACCGAGCTGTTACAGATGCTCGCCAGAATCCAAGGGCACTCTGCCAAGCCCCAGGCTCCGCACCGGGTTTTGTACCTGTTTCTCCTTACACGATGTGTGGTGCTCAGAGCCTGTGCCGCTGGCACACGCTGCCCTGGCGCTGGCACACGCGGTCCTGGCGGTATGCACTTCTCTGGGGAGGTGTCTTGATTGTGCTGCTTCACAGGGTGGCTCCTTATTAGTCTGGGAGAGACTGGGTGGGACGCAGGGCATGCGGGACCCAAATCCTTGTCCTTCTTTCCAGACCTTGGGGGTGTAGCTGCTTCTCGTCCTATTCAAGTTGTTGCCGCAGGAGTCATGTGAAGTCAGGCCTGGAACTCCTTGGTGGGGCCTGTTTCTACTTCTATTTTGTATTTCTGGTCTGTGAAATTCAACATTTAGTAAGAGGACCTGACTTTGGAAAGAAAATACAAGAACACTTCAGAAAGTTCATGAAAAATAGAATAAAGGCATAAATTTTAGTTCAAAAAATTGTTAAATACATACATATCTTTTTCATAATACACATTTTCCTGAACTTTTTGAAGACTCCTTGTATGTATGAGTTTCAAATAATTTTTGCAGCAAATTAAAATTATCTTTTAGGGGCAGGTGTTTGGTATGGTGGTTAAGCCACCCCGTTGGGATGCCTGCATCCCGTATCAGTGAGCTGGGTTCAAGTCCTGGCTCTGCTCTTCATTCCAGCTTCCTGTTATTGCACATGCTGGGAAGCAGCCAAGAAGACTCAAGTGTTTGTTTTTGTTTTTGTTTTTTAAGATTTATTTATGGGAGCCAGTGCCGTGGCTCACTTGGTTAATCCTCCGCCTTGGTGCCAGCATCCCATATGGGTGCCGGGTTCTAGTCCCTGTTGCTCCTCTTCCAGTCCAGTTCTCTGCTGTGGCCTGGGAGGCCAGGGAGGATGGCCCAGGTGCTTGGGCCCTGCACCCGCATGGGAGACCAGGAGGAAGCACCTGGCTCCTGGCTACGGAGCGGCATAGCTCCAGCCGTAGTGGCCATTTGGTGGGTGAACCAATGGAAGGAAGACCTTTCTCTCTGTCTCTCTCCCTCACTGTCTAACTCTATCTGTCAAATAAATAAAAAAATTTTCTTAAAAAAGATTTATTTGAAAAAGTTACACAGAGAGAGAAGGAGAGGCAGAGAGACAGAGAGAGAGAGAGGACTTCCATCCGCTGGTTCACTCACCAGTTGGCTGCAACTGCTGGAGCTTTGCTAATCTGAAGCCAGGAGCCAGGAGCTTCTTCTGGGTCGCCCAGGTGGGTGCAGGGGCCCAAGCACTTGGGCCATCTTCCACTGCTTTCCCAGGCCATAGCAGAGAGCTGGATCGGAAGTGGAGCAGCTGGGACTTGAACCAGCACCCGTATGGGATGCCAGCACTGCAGGTGGTGGCTTTACCTGCTGCACCACAGCGCCGGCCCCTCAAGTGGTTTAATCCCTGCCACCCACACGGAAGACCCAGACTGAGTTCTCAGTACCCGCCTTTGGCCTGGCTCAGCTGTGGCTGTTGTGGGCATTTGGCGAGGGAACCAGCAGATAGAAGATTTCTTCCTGTCTGTCTCTCCGCCTTTGAAATAAGTAAGTTAAAAAAATTTATTAGCTACCTCTTTATTCCTTTTCCATGAAATTTTAAAACACCCTTGTAAAGGACCAGTTCTGGGACAAATTTCCTAAGCCAGTGGAAGCGTGGCAGATGCATTTGGAAAAATGTCCACTGAGCTCTGAAAACCTAGGCTGTGTTAGAATGAAAGCAAACCTACACTGGCTATAGATAAGAGGGGCGCAATGATACAAAGCCCCACAGTCCCGAGATAAGAGGATGTCCCTGAACAAAAGGGCCTGCTGCTGCTGCTCGCTTGGGTCTGCAGGCAGGATGCGCCCTGCCTCCACGGCTAATCTTTGACTCACAGGAAAGGGACGTGGAGCACTTGCTTTTGTCTTTTCTCTGTTGATTTGGCCCCAAAGCTGTCAGTTTGATATAAATTCCTCTTATCTCTTCCCTCCCTCCATCCTTAATTTAGGACTTCTCGGAATTCTTTCCTTATCGCTGGGCGCTCATGATTCCTTCCTCAGCCCTGGCATCAAGAACTACCTCTCCAGCATCTCTGCTCACTCCCCTCACTCACCCCTCCAGACGGCCTCACTGGAAAGGACCCGCGATAACGCGGCCAGTTCCTTCTCAGCCTCTGGCTCCCAGGACATATTCTGTAGCTCCTTGCCATGGACCATTCAAAGAAAGAGACCCAATGCAGTGTGGGCAAAGCAGGTGATCGGTCAGTCTCCTGTAGCTCTCCAGATTTCAAGCCCACTGTCTTGGTGGCTTGCTCAGGCAGCAAGAAGGAATATAACTGAAAGCAGTCCTGCGGGCAGTTTGAAGACTCTCTCACCACTGTTGAGTTAGAAGGTAGGGTTTCCCAGCATGCCACCACAGTGGAGGGAGGAGTCTCGGCTTGGCACCCACCGCATTTCTCCAAAGAAGAATCTCCATTGACCACTGCCCCCTCCTCCCCCTCCACCACCCCTTCCTCCTTTGGCTTCTCTCTCTCTTTCCTCTCTCTCCTCCTTTTTGAGGATCCTTGATCTAGCTGAGGGTTTGAGGAACTCTGGAAGAGATTTATTTATTTATTTATTTATTTTTTGACAGGCAGAGTGGACAGTGACAGAGAGACAGAGAGAAAGGTCTTCCTTTGCTGTTGGTTCACCCTCCAGTGGCCGCCGTGGCCAGCGCACTGCGCTGATCCGAAGGCAGGAGCCAGGTACTTCTCCTGGTCTCCCATGGGGTGCAGGGCCCAAGCACCTGGGCCATCCTCCACTGCACTCCCTGGCCACAGCAGAGAGCTGGCCTGGAAGAGGGGCAACCGGGACAGAATCCAGCGCCCCGACCGGGACTAGAACCCGGTGTGCCGGCGGCGCAGGCAGAGGATTAGCCTAGTGAGCCGCAGCGCCAGCCTGGAAGAGATTCTAAGACCATTTTCTTTGTTGACCCTCTTAGGGAGATCGGGCCCCTCTGGGATTTCACATCTGTTCTATCTTGTTGAGTCTCATTCTACATTGATTGTATCCTGTTGGCCACTTCAGGGTTTTTTGTTGTTGTTGTTGTTGTTGTTTTACGATTTATTTATTTATTTGAAAGTCAGAGTTACACAGAGAGAGGAGAGGCAGAGAGAGAGAGAGAGAGGTCTTCCATCCGCTGGTTCACTCCCCAGATGGCCACAACGGACAGAGCTGCACTGATCCAAAGCCAGGAGCCAGGAACTTCTTCCGGGTCTCCCACATGGGTGCAGGGGCCCAAGGACTTGGGCCATCTTCTACTGCTTTCCCAGGCCGCAGAAGAGAGCTGGATTGGAAGAGGAGCAGCTGGGACTAGAACCAGCGCCCATATGGGATGCCGGCACTTCAGGCCAGGGCGTTAACCCTCTGCGCCACAGCGCCTGCCCCAAACCTTCAGTTTTAACAACTCCCTTCACTTTGGATAGCGTACTCAAAATCACCAAATCACCCAGGGATTCTGTTTCACTAAGTAGCCTACCACCTGCTCTCCAAGACATGCCTGAAGTTGCAGAGTTTGCATTCACTTTCTCTCTCTCTCTCTCTCTTTTTTTTTTTTTTTAAGATTTATTTTATTTATTTGAAAGACAGAGTTACAGAGAGAGGTAGAGACAGAGAGAGAGGTCTTCCATCTGCTAGTTCACTCCCCAGATGGATGCAACGGTCGGAGCTGCGCCTATCCGAAGCCAGGAGCTTCCTCCGGGTCTCCTATGCGGGTGCAGGGGCCCAAGGACTTGGACCATCCTCCACTGCTTTCCTAGGCCATAGCAGAGAGCTGGATCAGAAGAGGAACAGCCGGGACTAGAACTAATGCCCATATTGGATGCCGGCGCTTCAGGCCAGGGCTTTAACCCACTGCACAGCGCCGGCCCCTGCATTCACTTTCTTTCTCACTGCTCACTTAGTGGCAGTGTAACCTCAGGCAGGTTAACTTTTCTGTGCCTCATTTCCTTATCTGAGTAATGGGCTCAAGAAGGGACTTAACTCACACAATAGTCTTAAGGATTAAATGAGTTGACACCAGCAAAACACTTAGAACAGAACCTGACGTCTGGGCAGCTGGCAATCAGCAGGCGTGAGCTGTTCTTATTACTTTCTCCTCTTTCGTAAAGCAGCAGCAGCTCACTTCACTCTTGTTTGATGACTTTGCCGTGGATTTTACTGAGAGAATAAGAGAGCCAGGTGGCCAGCACTGTGGTGTGTCAGGTAAAGCCGTAGCCTGTAGTGCCGGCATCCCTTATGGGCACTGGTTCGAGTCCCGGTTGCTCCACTTCTGGTCTATCTCTCTGCTATGGCCCAAGTCTTTGGGCCCTGCACCTGCATGGGAGACCCGGAGGATGCTCCTAGCTCTCTTTCTCTCTGCCTCTGCCTCTCTGTAATTCTGCCTTTCAAATAAATAAATAAATCTTGTGTGTGTGTGTGTGTGTGTGTGTGAGAGAGAGAGAGAGAGAGAGAGAGAGAGATGCGTCTGTACCTAATTCTTCCTATCCTTTGCCCATGAAAGTGTCTTGGTCAACTCCTCCACCTGGCCTGTGCTCAGGGCTCTATCCTGTTCATCTTCCAGGATTTCCCTCATTTTACTCTTTCCAGAATGATTAATCCCTCTGCCCTGTCCCCTAGCAGCATCGAGACATCTTTTAAAAGAAGAGCAAAGAAGCCAGACTCTTCTTCAACCCTACAATTCTCGTCAGCTCTGAGATGCAGGGTGGGAGCACACAAGAGAGCTTCATATTTCCCTTGTGGGAATGCTGGGGGCAAAATTTTCTAATAGATGATGTCAAGTCCTAAGCATAGACCTGGCTTAGAGCAAGCACATAAGTGTTGGCTATTACAGTCAGCCCTCCATGTCTAGGTTTCCACATTTAAGGAGTCAACCAGCCTTGGACCAAAAATACTCAGAAAAAATGCATCTATACTGAACATGTACACACATTTCTCCTGTTGATATTCCCTAAGCAATACAGTACAGCTACTTACATAGCATTTACACTGTTAGGTATTGTGAGTAATTTGGAGGTGACTTAAAATATAAGGGAGGATGTGTATAGGTTACACACAAACTTGGCTATATTGTATATATGGGACTTGAATATCTAAAGATTTGGGTTTTCAGAAAGGAGTCCTAGAACAAAGGCCTCCTTGGATGCCAGGGAACAACTACATTAGCATTGTTGTTGCTGCTGTTATTATAAATTTTCATTTCTGTGCTTGCTGAAAGGGATTGGACCTTCTTAAAGAGATATTTTAGGCAACAAGTATGGACTTAATTTAAGCTACAGTCACACCAGGCTGGTGTTGTGGCATAACAGGTAACAGTTTATTTATTTCTTTATTTGAAATGCTGAATTACAGAGAGAGAGGGAGAGACAGAGAGAGAGATCTTCCATCTCCTGGTTCACTCCCCAGATGGCCCTGTCAGGACCAGACCAAAGCCAGGAGCTTCAAACTGGTCTCCCACATGGGTAGGAGGGGCCCAAACACTTGGGCCACCTTCCACAGCTTTTGCAAGCTCATGAACAGGAAGTTGGATCAAAAGTGGAGCAGCCAGGACTTAAACAGCACCTGTAAGGGATGCTGGCATCACAGGCAGCAGCTTAACCCACTATACCAGAATGCTGGTCCTGAAGATTAATTTCTTTATCTGAAAGGCAGAGCCACAGAATAGAGACACAGACAGAGAAGTCTTCCATCTGCTGGTTCACTCCCCTAATGCCCTTAGGTTCACTCCCCTAATGCCCTTAGGTTCCTTCCCCTAATGCCCTTAACAGCCAGGACTGGGCCAAAGCCATAGCCAGGAATCTGGACTCAATCTGGGTCTCCCACATGGATGGCAGAGAAACAAGTATTCAAGCCATCATCTGCCTCCCAGAATGTGTATTGGCAGGAAGCTGAATCAAAAGCATTGTAGCTGGGCCAGTGCTGTGACAACAGGTTAAGCAGCTGCCTGCAGTGCCAGCATCCCATATGGGCACTGGTTCGAGTCCCAGCTGCTCTACTTCTGATCCAGCTCCCTGCTAATGTGCCTGGGAAAGCAGCAGAAGATGGCCCAAGTGCTCTCTCACATGGGTAGCAGGAACCCAACTACTTGATCTGTCATACGCTGCTTTGCAGGATACGTGCTGGAAGGAAGTTGGAATCTGGAGAATTGGGATTCTAATCCAGGCATTCCGATATGGGATGCAGGCATCCCAAGCAGTATCTTAACCACTCGTCCAAACACCAGCCCTTTGTTGAGATGATTTGTTTAATTTCTATTTTTAAATTTATTTTCATCCAGTTGAAGAAGCAAAGTAGTCACAGAGAGATTATACAGAGTAGTCACAGAGATCTTCCATCTGCTGGGTCACTCCCCAAAATCCCTGCAACAGTCCAGGCTGAAGCCAGGACCCCAGAGTTCCATCCAGGTCTCCCACATGAGTGGCAGGGCCCCACGCACTCGAGCCGTCATCTGATGCCTTCCAAGATGCCTTAGCAGGAAACCGAATTGGAAGCAAAGCAGCTGGAACTCGAAGCAGCATGCCAATGGGATGCCTGTGTTGCAAACAGCAGCTTAACCAGCTGCACACAGTGCCAGGCCCGCATTGTAATTTTGCCTTGCATTTCCTGATATACTGAGCATCTCTTCATGGGTTTATTAGCCTTTTGAATATCTCCTTTAGAGGGAGGTCTATTCAAGTGTTTTGTCATTTTTAAATTGTTTTGTTTCTTTGTTGTTCAATTTCAGCTCACTATATAACGTGGATCTTAATGCCTTATCATACATAGTATTTGCAAATATTTTTGCCCATTCCACACACTGCCTTTCTACTCTGTTGATAATTCTTTTAGTGCATAAAACTTTTTAAATTTTGATGAAGTTCAATTTGTCTATTTTTCTGTTTATTGCTTATGCCTTTGGTGTCGTATTCATGAACTCTTTGCCAAACCCCAGTGTCCTGAAGATCCTTCCCTGCGTATTCCTCTAAGAGTTTTACGGTGCTGGGCCTTTGACCCGTTCTGAGTTAATTTGTATATGTGCTGTTGCAGAAGGAGCCACCGTTTCAGCCCCATTTGTTGGAAAGTCCTTTCTCCACTGAATGGAGGAGGGCTTGTTTCTGGGCTCTCTCCCCTGGGGTTCTGACAGTCCATGCTCCTAGTCTCCTCCTGCCATTGGGCTCCTCACTTCCTGCTTCCTTTGTGGGTTCCTCTTGGTCTGTCCTGGGCCATGGATGCTGTTGCTTGGCCCTAGGTGCTATCATTTCTCATGCAGCATGCTTTTGAGGGTTTTATTTCTGCATATGCCTCTCAAGTCTCTCTCCTGAGCTTCCAGCTGAAGACCCCAAAGGCTAACTGATGTCCTACAAAGCACGCGACTCTAATAAGTCATGAGCAGGACCCTTCACCTTCTCAGCCCTTCTCCCCTCAAACAGACCTGCTCCTCCACTCTCTCCCCGTCCATCTTGTCTCCTAAGCCGGAAACTTGGGTTTTAGGCTGGACTTTTCCCTGTTCTTCACTCCCACGTCGAATAAGTCGGCACATCCTGCCAGCTCTACCTCCTACTTGGTCTCACATTGTCCCTTTCATGCTGCTGACTGGTTCAGTTGAGGTCACTCTACAACCTTTCTCTCCTGACGTGGAGCTACTGCTTCTTCCCCGAGCTCCTGCCTCCTCCTTTCACATATTCCGCACACCGGAGCCAGCGTGGTTCTCGGCACGTCTTTCTCCTTAAGAGCTTCCGTGGAGTGACGGCAGTTCTCTCAAAGGGAGCTACGGAGGGGACTGCTGCTCCGACCTCAGCTCCTAAAACTCCACTCCTCATGAATTTGTCAACTCAGCCAAAACCTCCACCACTCCGTCCTGTCAAGTCTTGAGCAGCGTTAGTTCTTCCCACTGGCTTTGTCAATGAACTCAGCGAATTCCCATTCTTATACCTGTCAGCTGAGAAGTCTCTTTCTCTTTCCTGACCCCCCAGCTCTGGTGTGGGAACCCCCTGTGCTCCTCCGTAGCACCCAGTGCTTACCCTGTCAGAACGGATCACACACACATACACACATGTACACGCACACTTATGGGCTCATTTTTTTAACATGCAACTTAATATCTTTATTTTTTTCTTGAAATGGAGGTAATACCCCTGCTCTGTGAACTTCTAATGAGACAAGGATGAGAACCATGTGGGAGCGTCCATGCAATCAGTAGGAGGGTACTGTCAACCCTCCTTAACCCCTCCACCCGCTCCAGAATTCCTTAGCCCCAGGCCTGGGTTTGAGTTCAATGTTTTCTTGTTGAGGAGGTCAGCATTAGTGTTTTCTTCACGTTCACTCTCTCTCCTATGCCTCTGCAGTGGGTTTCCCCCAGTGGGAAATGTCCACACAGGGACAGCAGGTGCCTTTGAAGGCTACTTCTGGGATGACAGGGGAGTGGTCTCCTTTGCCTGGTCCCCCCCCCCCCCTTCCCTGCAGAGCTTACTCCTCTGACCACTGCTCGGCAGCCTGGCATTGTTTTTGTGGGCTCTGTGCAAACTGCATCCAATGGGTGGGTGATTGTAGACAGCCCTCTAGGCCTGAGATGGAGAGAGGTGTACTGGAGGATTTCAGAGGTGTCTTCCAACTCAAGATGCCCTAAAATCCTGGACTCTGACCAGAATCTAAGTCATAATGGAACCAAGAGAAGAAAGAATGCAGAACCCTGAACCCGTCAACCAGAGCTTCACTGCTCCGCTGAGAGCCATGCAGAAGAAGCTGGCTCGCCTTGTTCCCGCTCACCTTCTTCATTCCGCTTCTCCTGTGGCTCCGGCTGGGCCTTCGGCTCCCTCCCTTCCTCCCATCCTGCCTGATGTCCCTCTGACTTCTCGGCCTCTTCGCCCTGGGCCTGCCTTCATCACTAGTCGCTCAGACCCACCCGGTCCTCCTCCCACTTCCTGTCCCAACCATCTCCCGCCTCTTCCCACCCTCCCGACTGCACGTCTCCCCACCTGGGTCACCTCCACCCTCGCCCGTCCCCCCACCTACCTTCCCCCTCCCCCTCTCCCTTCCATCCGGCGCCCTTTCCGACTTGCTCCTCTCTTTTCCCACTCGCCTCCCTGTGCCCCTCCCCCCTCTCCTCATCCCACTTCTTCCCCTGGCTGTATGGACCTTGGGCCCAGATAGGCTGTCCCTGTTCCTGCAAGGACACCCACCCCAGCCAGCTTCCACCACGACTGACGATTGCCACATTCAGTCATGGCGTCCCATGTCCCTACCTGTGAGTCACCCAGGACATTCCAGAGCTCCTGGTGACCTGATGGACATGGTGCACACTGGATGGTGACCAGCGAGCATACAACCCAGAGGGCCACCTCCCTCAGGTAAGGACCTTTTTACCAATATTGGGTTGTCAGCCGCCAACATGTTTTTGTTTTCTTACTAAGTTTAGCGTGTGCCTCCATTCCCACCCCTTACATCAGATGTTATCAGAATGGGCACCGTTTCTAGTCCTGGCTGCTCCTCTTCCACTCTAGCTCTCTACTATAGCCTGGGAAAGCAGTAGAAGATGGCTCAAGTCCTTGGGTCACTGCACCCATGTGGAGGACCTGGAGGAAGCTCCTGACTCCTGACTTCAGATCAGCTCAGCTCCAGCCATTGTGGCCATTTGGGGGAGTGGAACAGTGGATGGAAGACCTCTCTGTATATATATCTACCTCTCTTTGTAACTCTGTCTTTCAAATAAGTAAAAAATAAATCTAAAAAAACTGTTAATGAAGATTCTGTTGTTTTTCCATAGGAGATTCCATTGGGAGTAAGACACAGAAAAACTACAAGTGGACTCTGAATTCTGATTATCCCTGTTAATCTCATTGCATCAGATGCAGAGAGCCTTACGCACACACAGACACCACCGCACACAACATTCGCAAACACCATAACCCTGATCAGCCATGGAAGTGGGTGGCAGCTTTAGCCTGGTGATGATGTGGATGGAACGCTCCTACCGAGTTATGGTTTATCCCTGCCTATTTTATGAATTTCATTTTGTTATTTTATTGTATATTATTTTAAAGGCAAAGAGAGAAGAGCGACAAACAGAAAACTGCCATGTGCTGGTTTACTCCCCCAAATGCCCTCAATGGCTGGAGCTGGGCCAGGCCAGAAGCCAGGAGCTGGGGGGTCTTATGTGGATAACAGGGACCCAACAGCTTGCACTCTCACCTGCGGCTTCCCAGTGCACATTAGCAAGAGGCTGGATTTCAATATTGGATGCCTGTGTTACAGGTGGCAGCTTAACCCACTGTGCCACAATGCCGGCCTCCCAAGTAAGGTCTTAACCACTACGCATACACCCTCCTCCTCCCTGCCTTCTTATATAGCCCAAACAAAATGATTTAGATCTACTTGTTTACTTCCATATCATATTTATCGGTTGAGATCATTTAGCCATGTGTACATGTAATCTTGGGACAAGGAAACGTTTTTAACCTCAGGAGCAGAGGAGTGAGCTAAATATACCCCTCAGTTCGCAGCTTGCTCTGGTCATTCCCTGGGCAAGGCCCCTCGCCTGCTGTTTTTTCTTTTTCTTTTTTTTTTTTCTCAATAGCATACCCATTTCCCACTTTCACTCCCCTCATAATACTCCCCCTTAAAACATGTTGATGTGTGCACGTGTGTTCTTGTAAAATGCAGTGTTATTGTGAGGACTGTGTTTTGAATTGTTGTCCACAACATTGTGTTGTAGACTTTATTATGTTTTCTACCTTTCCACCCAGTGTTCTATGGTGAAGATCTGTCTCTGTGAGTATAGTGGTCATCTGTGTTTCTATTCTGCACTGCAGGTTTGGTATCTCTTCTACATAACACTCATCCATTTCCCCAGTGACAGACGGACAACCAGACTGTCTCTCTCTCCACTATGATGAACTTCCTTATTGGCTGAGAGTATTTAGTTGTTGTTGTAAATGAGTACTGAATTTGTTCAAATTATTTTTATGCATTTTTAGACAATTATATGGTTTTCACCTTGTCTTATTATTCTTTGTTTCTTTTCTAGCCTTTTCTCACCTTGTTTTGGATCCTTTATTTTCAGTATTGTACCTTATCTTCATTAGTTTATTAGCTAATTTAACTTTTTTTATTTCTAGTGTTTATACACTCTGTGTCTTATTTAGCTCGCTCTTTATTTCCTTGAGAATGAGAGAGATGCCTGCAATGGCTGGGGCTGAGTCAGACCAAAGCCAAGAGCTGAAAACAATCCATATCTCCCACATGAGTGGCAGGGACCCAACTATTTGAACCATCACTCTCTGCTTCCCAGGGTGCACATGAACAGGAAGCTGCAGTTGGGAACAGAACCCAGACTCAAACCCAGGCGTTCGGATGTGGGAGGCGGGCATCCTAACTGGTATCCTAATCTCTATGCCCAACACCTACCCATTCTCCATGCATCTGTAATCACAGTCTACCTTCGAATAATATTGTGCTACATCTAGTATAATGAAAAATGTACACAATACCTTCCATTTTTCCTATAGTATCTCATTATGGTTTGGTTTGCATTTCCTGATGGCTAATAAATATCTTTTTATGTGCTTATTGCTCATCTGTATACCTTTGGAGAAATGTCAATTCAGAGCCTTTGCCTATTTGTTTAAAAATTCTATGTATTCATTTGAGAGGCAGATAGAAACACAGAGAAAAACAGAAAGTTCCTGTCTGCTGATTCATTCTGCAAATGCCATGATGGCTAGGGCTGGGCCAGGCTGAAACCAGGAGCCAGGAGCTCAACCCAGGTTTCCTACATGGGTGGCAGGGACCCAGCTATTTGGACTATCACCTGCTGCCTTGCAGGGTGCATGTTAGCAGGAAGCTTGAGTCAGGAGTGGAGCTGGGACTGGAACCCAGGAACTCTGATACGGCAGACAGGCACCCAAGCAGCATCCTTCCACTACATCAAATCCCCGCCCCTGCCCATTTTTAAATTGAGTTGTTTATGATTGAGTTGTAAGAGTTCTTTATGGAGGCCACAGGGGAGAATCTGCTTCCTTGCCTTGTAGCTCCTAGAGGCTTCCCACATTCCTTAGCTCATGCCCATCCCTGACTTGTCCTCAAAGCCACATCAGTCTGACCAGTCTTGTGCAATCACATGGCCCTCTGAGCACACTCCTAAAGACCCACGGCATTAGACTGGATCTTATCTCAGTGCCCCAGTAATATCCCTGATAAAACCCAGATACCCCTCATGTCTATCTCTTTTGCCATGTAAATTCTTTATCCACAAGTTTGGGATCAGAATGTGGACGTCTTCAGGGGGACGTTATTCTGCCGACCATCCCATCACCATAAATAATGCTTCAATAGACATCCTTCTATGTATCCCTTTAATGGACCTCTATGCATATTTCGTGGCCTTGGAGTCTGCATATAATTAGAACAGGTCGCGTTAGATTGTACTCTAAAATGGCTCCATCAATCTACTTCTCTACAGCAGAATCTGAGGTCCCTTTACCTCCATGTCCCTACCATTATTTGACAATGTCCAACTTGGTCATTTGTGCCCATCTCTTATGGGTATAAAGTGATGTCTCATGATTGATTTAATTTGCATATTAATAATAATTAAAAGTTCTTCCTTGCCCTTAGTTCACAAAAATATTTCTCTTACATTTTCATTACATTATTAACTTTACATTTTACTTTTCAATTTTGAGTTTATTAAACCACGTAAGGCTTTGTATCTTGGTTTATGTAGGGATATTTTTAAAAATTTTAAGATTTATTTAAGAGGGAGGGAGGGGGAGAGAGAGAAATCTGTCATCCACTGGCTCACTCCTCAAATGCCTGCAACAGCTGGGGCTGGGCTAGGCCGAAGCCGAGAGCCCAGAACTCCATCTGGGTCTCCCACGTGTGTGGCAGGGGCCCAAACCAAGCACTTGGGCCATCATCCACTGCCTCCTCAAGATGTGTTAACAGGAAGCTGGATCTCAAGTGGAGTAGCCAGGGCTTGTATCATGGTTCAACAGGTTAAGCCACCACAGCGTAATGGGACAAGCTACCACCTGAGACACCAGCATCCCATATGAGCCCCAGCTGGTCTCCTGGCTGCTCTGCTGACAATCCAGCTCCCTGCTAATGGGAGATGACCTACGTACTAGGGCCCTTGCCCCTCACATGGGACACCAGGATAGAGTTCTAAGCTCCTGGCTTAAGCCTGGCTCAGCCTCAGCCAATGCAGTCAACTGGGGAGTGAATAAGCAGATGGAAGATTCATTCTCTCTCTCTTTTTTATTTATTTATTTGAAAGGCAGAGTTACACAGAGAGAGAAGGAGAGGCAGAGAGAGAGAGAAAGAGAGAGAAAGGTCTTCCATCCGCTGGTCCACTCTCCAATTGGCCACAATGGCTGGAGCTGTGCTGATCCGAAGCCAGGAGTCAGGAGCTTCTTCCAGGTCTCCCATGCAGGAGCAATTGGGCCATCTTCTACTGCTTTCCCAGGCCATAGCAGAGAGCTGGATCGAAAGTGGAGCAGCCAGGACTTGAACCGGCGCCCACATGGGATGCTGGCACTGCAGGCGGTGGCTTTACCCACTACGCCACAGCACCGGCCCCAGATAAATAAATCTTTAAAAAAAAAAATGCTGCTTGGGATGGCCACATCCCATATTGGAGTGCCTGGGTCTGAGCTCTGGCTGCACTCCCAATTCCACCTTCCTGCCAATGAACAGCAGGTTGGAAGCAGTGGCCTTAGCCCCATCTTACCTTCCCCTCCACCTGGGCATCCCTTGTAGAGTCAGAGGGAACCAAAGGATTTGGGGGCCTGGAGCAGGGACTATGGGAAGGGAGAGCTGGGCAGCTGCCTCGAGTAGTCAGATCCCACGGCCTTGGCACAGTCCTCAGGCAATAGAGTTTCCCGGATAGGGGTCAGAGGCCCAGGTCATATCTGCTGTGCCTTTTTCTCTTTAAGACTTATTTAGTTATTTAAAAGAACCACAGAGAGAGGATAAAGAGAAAGAGAGAGGGAGAGGGAGGGAAGGAGAGAGAGAGAGAGAGAGAGAGAGAGAGAGAGAGAGAATCTTTCCACTGGTTCACTCCCTAGATGGCTGCAATGGCCAGGAAATGGGTCAGGCTGAAGCCAGGAGCCAGAAGCTTCATCCATGTCTCCCATATATATGACAGGGGCCCAAACTACACTTGGGCTGTCCTCCACTGCTTTTCCCAGGTCATTAGCAGCCGGAACACGAGCCAGCACCACATGGGATGCCGGCGCCACAGGCAGCAGCTTTACTCACCATGCCACAGCGTCAGCCCCATGTTGTGCCTTTTCTCCCCTGCCTCTTGGCCAAAGCATCCTCCTTTGGGTCACTTAGAACCCTATTTTTTCTCTCCCAGGACTAAGAACCCTCTAGAGAATGAAAACACAGGGGACCATTTTCAAACTGACTTTAATCATTTTTTTGCTGCCCAAATACTGTACATGCAGAAGCCATGTGAAGAATTTTCTCCTCGAAGGAATTGGCAAGAACGTTGTACAAAACAGCTGGCAGTCCCTCCCAGCTGTGCACCTGCCACCCAGGAACCACAGAAAGATGCTGCACATAGAAAATGTAGAGGGCACGGATAGAAAAGGCTAATTGCTTCTTATCTAAACAGTGTGCTTGTCAGCCAATATCAGCGATCTCTGTCTTTGCAGGACGCATTTGGAAATTCTGAACAAGGGGTTCCTGCCTCCCGTGAGCTGCCACGCTAAGGAGCGGATAGAACCATCAAGTCTGCTTTCCCTATGGAAACAGCCACTCTGCCTTCAGAGACGGTGCTGGTAAAAGACCTTCTGCAGGGACGAGTGGTTTTGAGACGCAAAATACTTGGAAGGGGTGGGAGTTCCCTCTCGCCTGCCGTCTTCAGCCCACCCACTGGAGTCATCTATATTAGAAATGAGGAACCGCACGCTCACTCGGAAAGCAGCTGAAGTTGTGACAATCACTTCAGCACCTTGAAAACTGTCCATTGTACGCAACCCTTAATTACTTCTCACAAGAATAAAGGAGGGGAACAAACCACAACGAGGTGAAAGCCGGGTCTGTTAGGATTCCTAGAGTTCCCATCTGCAGCAGCAGCTGGGCACGAGCAGACGTGGACCTGTGCCCGCTGGGGCCCCGGGGGAGCTGGGCATCAGCTGCACCAGGCTCACCACCTCAGCAGCCCCGCAGCAAAGACTCCGAGAGCCTGGAGGGGACCACAGGGCAACCAGCTAATGGTCAGGTGTTGCAGGTGAGCGAAGAGACTTGCAGCAGGTCCCACGAGTCCCTGTAGACAGCTGTCCAGGTCGGTGGTTAATGGGACAGACGCGCCATTGGCCCTGGAATTCTCAGGCCCCATTTCTGTTTGCCAAGCTGTCTGGAACCCAGTCCCAGGGTTTGATGTGAACTCACGGAGGCGCAAGGCCCTGCCTTTCTGAGCAAGTTCCCAACCAGAGCCCCGAAGATTTTCCTGGAGCAGTAACACTCATGGCCCAAACCAATCGAGGCGCCCAAGAGAATGCAGGCTTCCCTCACAGGCACAGCCTGCTCGGAGCAGAGGAACCCGAGCTCAGGGTGGGGTGGGGGAGGGGGTGCTTTGCTACATGGAAAGATTAAGCCCTTTGTCAGAGAACCAGGCCCCCCCACTGGCCATGCCAGCATCTGAGCCACACGTGTGCAGCTCGGCCAGCAGGGCCGGTGCCCGGGGAGGCCGAGTCACTCTCTTTGGCATCACTGACATTGCGCTGAGATGCTCAGGCACTCTTTCAAAATAACCCTTTCCCAGGCAGACCAGGCCAGCCCAGCCCCCCATCAGGCTGGGCCCGATGGCAGGGGGCTCCCCCGTTCTCCAGTCATGATTGCTTTGCCCCCCGTCTCTTCTGAGCGAGAAGCAGACTGGAGGGAGAAAGCAGGGGGCGAGTCTACATTTCCATCTCTTCCCTGATCACTCAGTGAGAGACGATCCAGTAGAGGAAGCAGCACGTTAAAGAACCTCGGTACGTGTCAGGATATCGGAGAGGAAAACTCAGAGGAGGGGGAGAGGAAGGTGGGAGGAGGCAGGCTCCCCGCAGCCACTGCAGAAACAGCGCTGGCCGACCTCCGGGCCCTGAACGAAGTGCCACCGCTCCCCACCCGGGCGGACAGCAACTCGACTACGGCGGCGGCAAAAGGCAGCAATCTCGCGCACAGGGTTTGCACAGTGTGGGAGCAATCGGAGAGACACAGAGGAGCAGCCGTCCCGAAGCCGTGCTGCCTTCTGGGCCCAGGATGCTGGGGGAGTATGAGGTATCAGGAGCTCAGAAGCCCAGGGGAAGAGGGCGCTGCAGCTCCCGGCCGCAGGGTGTGGAGGAAGGACGCCGGGCACGCGTCAGGGCTCCTGGTAACGCAGTCTGAGGTTGTGCTACATTTCATTTCCAAAGAAGTGCCCGTGGAGGACTCAGTTGTCTTTAAAAACGGAGGCTTCCACTCTCCTCAGGGCTGGCAGTGGAGGAGAGCTCGGGTCGCTTCCCTGTGAGGGTCACAGCCCTGGGGAGAGTTGGCTGGACTTCAGTGCTGCAGCCGCAGGCAGTGGTGCCACGCGTGAGCGGGGAGCTCCCCTAGGCTTGCGCTGCCCCGTGGATGCTGGCATTGTCTGGGACTCGCTGGGCCTCCAGAGCCCCCCGTGTGCTCTGTTCCTGGCGGAACCAGGTGCTGGAGGAGACCGAGTGGGGAGTCCTTTCGGAGATGGAGCTTCCCTGGAGGATCCAGTCACCCTTATCAGACCCAGACATGGCCCCTTCCGCTGCAGCCTGGTTCCTACCTAAGGCCCACGGCCGGCTTCCCCGTAGGGAAGGAGTCTGACAAAAGCGGCGCAAACCAAACAGCACAGAACTGTGCAGACAGACGTTCTGAGTCACCCATCCCGGCCTGCTGTGGCCCAGCTCACTGCCAGGCCACTCTGGTCTCTGTCGCATCCCTGGGGAGTCCTGCCTGACCAGAACAGAGGGGAGGCCACAGACCCCCATCCGGCAGCCTCCACCTGGGTCCATCTGGGGCGAGGGGCGCTTGGAGCCGGGACACTGCACCTGGCAGTGAGTTGGACTCAGGGTAGGGGGAACCCTGGAGGATGGTTTCCTTCCTCCACCTCCCCCACCCCCACCATTCTCTCCACAAAGGGCAGATTCCCCTTGCCCCAACCCCAAGAAAGGTGCTCCCAGGATGCTGGGACACAGACCTGAGATCCAGCCACTCCCCAGCTCACATCCAGCAGCCTCTAACAACTTCCCTCTCGAGGGAAACCTGGGGGGAACCCAGGTTAAAAACAGTGATTCCCCAAGGCCAACTTGGAAGCAATGATCTTCCATGGGACTGCCCACCTCGTGGGCAGTTTGGATAGCTGGGGTTAGAGGCAAGCAGCCCATGTCCCCGGCACAGCAGGCTCCTCCTTGGGCCGGAACTGGCCGTGCTAGCCTCCCCCAGAGGCTAGCCAGCTGCCTGTCCCTGCTGGCCATTCCCACCCTCTCCCACCGCCTTCCTGGACCCCTAGAGGAGGGAGGGTACCCAGAAACCCTGCATCCAGGGGGTGGCTGCAGGGTCTGGGTCTCGCCTATGGGTCACTCAGAACCCCACCACTCCAAAGCGGTCAAATTCACACCACCCTCTGTGGCCGCACTAGAGGGGAGTCCAGCAGCAGCCGGGAGGAACATGCGGTTTTGAAAATTCCTTTCCATCTCCCCGCTAAGGGCAAAGGGTACAGAGCCCTTTGCCCCGTTTTCAGGAACACAAGAAATGTACGCATTGCCCAGTCCAAGCAATGGACTAGGAGAACATTGCTGCCCCAAGAGGAAGCCCGTCCTGGCCACCGCCTCCCCATTCCCCGTGCCCAGGGTGGCTCCCTCCTCTGAGAAGACGAGAATGGAGGCTCGGGCCAGACAGGAGCCCAGGTGCAGGCTCTGTTCCCTTCCTTGCTGCCTCCTAAACACTCTGTGTGCAGGTGTGCTGGGGTCCTGGCAGCTTCCCCTGGTTTCCACGGGAGGGGGGTCCCAGGACTCTGGCTCCAGCCCCTTTGGACTGGTGGCCTGAGTGTCATGGAGCTGTCCCTCCTGTGCCCCTCCAGGTTCGCTTACAAACAGAGCCTAAGCATTGAGGCCCGAGACCTCTCCACTGCTGCCCAGGGAGCTCTCCCTGCCTTGGGCATTTGCGTGGGAGCCGCGGCAGCATTTGGGGGGCGATGTCTGTGAAACAGGCTGAGAGACAGCCTTCCCCATGCCCTGACCACTCTACTGCCTCGTTCCTCCCTGCCACCCAGGAACCCGAGGCCGCTTTGTGTCTCTCCTGGGGGACCTCTCACCCTCTACCCCAGAGCCGAGATGGGAGAGGGACAGGGAGGGCATTCCTGAGCCAGTTTTCAGGTTCCCAGCATACATCTGCCAGGGTCCAGTCCAGGCACTGGTCCCCACCAATAGGGCCCAGCTGTCAAGTCGGGGTCACAGTGGCTGGGAGAAGCGTCAACAGGACGAGAGTGGGAAAGAGCAGAGGCAGAGGAGGGCCTGGCGCAGGCCAGGCTGCAGCGAAGGCAGGGGGCCGAGAGCACGAAGTATTGCTGTGCGGAGCTGGTGACTGCGGGGACGAGAGCCCGGGGCCAGGCTGCCCGTGGAGCCAGCAGTGGGCGCCAGACTGAGTCTGAGCCCCCACGCAGGGACCCAGGTTTGGACATGAGCAAAAAATAGAGCCCCGAAGGAACGAGAGCATGCAGCGAGTCCCCGAAAGTCGGGGAGGGCTGTCCACCCCGCCCCCTCCCTCCAGCCCACAGCCCTAGCCCCAGCGCCTCAGCGCAGGGATGCCCCTGGAGGGCTGAGAGCAGCCCATCTGGGGCCAAGCCCCTGAGCCCACTGCAGAGCCCCTTTGGCAGCGCTGGCAGGGAGGAGGCGGGGAGGTGGGCTGGGAAGAGCAAGCGCCCAGGTGAGCCCCTGGCGCCTCCCTCTGAGGATCTGGCCAGCAACGCTGGGAACCAAAACTCCATGTGCTCCGCTGGGAGGAGGAGGAGGCGGTGGCTCCTGCCCCCAGGAGGACCCTCTCTGAGCCCTGGGCTCCCCGGCCCCGGCCAGGGTGCTGGAAGGGCGTGCTACACGCACAGAGCGCTTTCCGCGGGCACAGCTGCCAAGCGGCCAGGGGCTGGGGCAGGTGCACAGGGGCCCCTCTGGGCCTCTGTGTGGCCAGCTGCAGTGGATGCTACATTCCTCAAGAAAGAGCAGCAGTGCTGGGAGAGGCAAAAGGTGGGACAAAAGACAAGACAGAAAACCAACCAGAGACCACCGAGAGGAGGCACAGGCACACGACCGGGCAGGCTCCACCAGGGGCCGTGTCCCGCACTTCAGCCCAGGAGACTCCTCGGGGTGAGTCGTGGCCACCCAACACTCTTCCGAGTTTCTCTTCAAGAAGATACAAAGAGACAAGAATTTCAGCCTGGGTACTCTCCTGGACCGACTGTGTACCCAGACGAATGAACAGATATGACATGGTCACATACACACATACAGACACACACACACAGACACACACACTACGGTGTCCACTGCCAGCTGGGGCGAGCCCAGGAGCCAACAGGCATGCAGCAGGGCAAGGGTCCAGAAAGACATGGAGATTATGTACAGGAGGGGAGGCGGGGCCCGTTGGCACCCCTTCCCCCACTGCCATCCTGGCCTCCTTTCCTGAGGTCCTTAGGAACACGAGGGACTGGTGGCACTCTCCAGGGAGGACTGGGACAGGCGCCTGGTGAGGGAGCCGAGTGTGGAGTCTGCCACGGAGGAGGTGGGGAAGAGTTTGTACCAGCCGGTGACCGCCGCACTCAGGTCCAGCTCGTCCAGCATGATCTGGGCCATGCCCATGAAGCACTTGTGGTCCATGCGGCCATAGTCGCCCCAGACGATCACCTGGCAGAAGGGAGGCAGAATGAGGAACTGAGCCACTTCCCTGGGCCCAGGAGCCTCCAGGCTTCACCAGGCTACAGATGGGACAGAGGGAACCAAACTCAGGCCGATCTGGGGCAACAGTTACTGAGTAGGTAAGAGGGGCCAGACTTGAGCCCAGGGACTCAAGGTGCATGATGTCAACTGTTGTAACACATCATGGAGGCGGGGCTGCTGTGCCCACACAGAGGACCGTGCAGCGCACAAAGGCAAGTTCACCATCGTAAAGATACACGAGAACTTGTAGCTGAGCTGGGATCTGACCGGGAGAACGTCCCGGCATCCCACGTAACAGCCTTCCCCAGGAAGGAGCCGGCCCTGCTGCTGGCCCGCCTGGTGCTCACGTGAGTCCCTCGCCCTCCCTGGGCCTCTCAGCGTTCCTCTCCACCCACTGCGAGAGGGGAAGAGATTTGCTCAGTGATTTTCAAACTTGTGTTTTCATTGCTGGGGCCTTTTCTAAGCTAGGGTGCTGAGGTTCAAGTTTACAACTCCAAGGGACCTTGCCGTGAACCTCCACAGGCCAGAGGAGCTGCCCTGGCAGGCCCTGGCTCTTACCTCTTCCTTGCTACCTATGGGGCCTCAGGCGAGGCCAACACTGTTAACCCTGGGTATCTATGTGCCAGGCATCCATACGTGCGACGTGTACACTCTTGGCCAACCCTCATCACATACGACCCGTCACTAGTGAGTGTCAAGCTGGAGTTTGAACCCAGGGGTTCGCCACTGTGCTTTATTCCCACATGACCTCAGGGTCTTCATCTGTGAAATGGGCACAATGATCCCTCCCCTCCAGGACTGCAGTGAAGTCAACACAGTGTGTGAAGGGGCTCTGCCACTCGGGTCACTGGGAGGACAGCCACCAGGACTCGGGCTCAGTTCAGCTCAGCTGGTCACCAGCTGACAGCTCAAGCGAGTGGCCTCATCTCTCTGAAACTTTCTCGGTTGCAAGGTGGAGAGAACAAGGTCACGTCTGGAAAGCAGCTAACGCACAGCCTGGTCCTGGAGCGATGTGCAGTTAGCAGTGGTGCTAGGTAGCAGGAGAGGGCAGCCCTGCCTGCCAGCTGTGCCAGCTGTGCCAGCTGGGAAACGATCCTGCCACCCTCTGGGCCCTGCACTCCTTGAGAAGCAGCTGGGAGCAGAAACACCTCCCTGAGCCGTGGAAATAAGTGGGTGCTGGGGTTTGAGTGTGTCCCCCGAGGGTTCCTGTGTTGAAATCTGATCCCCAGCATGAGGTTCTACAAGAGTGGAAACCTAATGGACTCTGGGAGTTCAAGGTGAGGCCTTTGGGAGGTGACTGGAGTTAGATGACGTCATCAGGATGTGGCCCCTGGGACTGAATCCTGGCGGCCACAGACACACAGGTGCTCCCTGTCTCCAGCCATGGGATGCCTCGTGGTGTGTCGGGACTCTGCCGGCAAGACAGCTGACATTAGATGCAAACCCTTGAAGCCCCAGAACTATGGTTGGGATAAACCCCTTTTTCTTACAGTTAGCCAGCCTCAAGTGTTTTGTTACAGGAATGAGAAACGCACTCATACGACAGAGTGCGCACTAATGCCCCTGGCCTGGTGCTTGGTTCGGGCTAAGTCCTAAATGGCCCTGAGGGCCTGCCCGCTCACCCATCACACTCACCTGCAGCACCCTGCCTTGGGGCCCCTCATCAAAGAGCAGAGCCTGCTGGTACAGGGGGTCACAGGTCTTTTTGGCCATCTTTGTCTTCTTCTTGGCCAGGCAGGCTCCATTCTCAAGTAGGTAAGCCTTGACATACGTGGCTGCAGGATGAGGGAGAGCGTGGTGAGCAGGGGTCAGGAGGGGCTGCCACAGCCTTCCAGGTCCCCCAAACTCCAGGTGACCCTGGAAGTGAGGAGTGCAAGGGAGCAAACGCTGCCTCCTCCAGTCGCCTGCCCCTGCCCCTGCCCCTGCCCCTGCCCTGCCCTGCCCCGCCCCATCTGCCGGCCTTCCAGGCAGGCTATCACTCCACTGTCAATAATTCTGATTTAGGCCACTGGGGAGCTGAGAACCTGCTAGGCTCAGAGCTCAGCTGTGTACCCCTCCCTCCCCCAGAGGACCCCCCATCTCCAAAATTCTCCTCCCAGGCTCTTGGCCCCACCTGGAAGGGATTTGGAGCCTGGTTTGGGAGTCAGGCCCCGAGCTTCGATCACCTCCACCTCCAGTTGGCCACTTCGGTCCATGATGCCGATGTGCACGTCTCCTGAAGAGAGAAGGGGGACAGTCCAGGCAGAGCCAGGCCAAGGGACAGGCCGGTCTGCAGAGGCTGCTGCCACACCCCTGGAGTGGGAACAGGTGTGGCAAACTGCACGTGCCCCAGGCTGCTCCCAGGTGACCGTGTCCAACCCACTGAGGGACCCTTGGTGTGGGCTGGGGGCATGACCCTCAAGGGCATGCTTAGGTCACCACAAATGGCGGCCAAACTCCCACGGATGGTGGCTCACTGGCAGCCTCTGCCTTGCTGGGCAGAAAAGGTAGGTCCGGGACAGAGCTTCCGGGGTCAGGCAGTGCCCCTGGGGCGGGGGGAGGCTCTGCTGTCCCTAACTTGTCCCTGCCACCTGCCCCAAATGTATGTGGGACAAATGTTGACAGAGAAGCAGTGCGACTGGCCAGAGAGCTTTGGGCCTGGCCAGGACAGGAGGCGCTGCCCTGGGGCGAGGGCCTGCGCACCCCTGGGCAATGGCGGCAGGGAAGGCCCCACACCTCCTGGCTGCCACAGCCTGAGAACTTGCAGTGCTCCCACAAAGCACAGCGCCCCGCTGCGGAAGTGCAGGCGTGGGGTCACGGCTGGCTATGCGATTTCTAGGCCCATTCTAAGGCGCGGGGTCCTTGCGCGCCGCCGGTCACTTCATCCCTGCAAGGTGAGCAGGCACAAGCCTGTCCTCCCCAGTTTTGGACACGAGGGGGCGCAACACACAAGTGTTGGAGGCTGCCGGGGCGCCTTCGCCGGGGCCAGCGGCTGGCTCCTCTCCCTGCCTCCCACCGGAGGCTATGTCTAGGACTGGAAGAAGCCGGCTCCCCGGGCGCTTCAGAGCCTGAAAGCAAGAGCTGGGAATTGACCAAATCCGGCCCAGGAGCCAGGGGAGCGCCCTCTCCCGCCCAGGGTCCCCACGGACCTCTCTTCCAGCACGCAGGGGCTCCGGGGCGGCTACTTTCTAGAAGGCAGGCTCGGCTCGCAGCAGCTTGCTCTTTGGCTGTGAGGGTCCAAGGCGGGGAGCTGCGTGGGGACCCCCGGGGCAGATGCTGTTCAGGGCCGACTGGTAGAGAAGGGAGCGGCGCCCCGAGCCCCTTGGAGAGGGGCCACGCGCTGCTTGGGAGCAACAAGTTCAAGCCAGCACCGCTGTTAGGTTGCAGAACTGGCATTCTCATATTCCCATCTTACAGATAGGGAAACTGAGGTGCAAAGAGAGGGTGTGACTTGCCCATGTTCAGAGTCGATGACAGAATGAGCTCCCTGGCGGCGGGTGCTGCACTGCCGCTGTTCGGTACCGCAGCGCGGGGAGGAGTGTGCCGTGAACGCTGCCACGCAGGGAGGCGGTGGGTGCTGCTCCTGTAACTCTCTGCCGCGACACCGGGGCCCTGGGCGCCCCTCCCGCCGGGCGGCTGCCCTTACCTCTCTCACCCTGCCCTGCAGACTCACCCATGGGTGGCGTTGCCAGCGTCTGCCGCCCCACAATCTGGGCTGGTCCCAGCCCATCCAGAAAGTCGCTGAACTGGCTTTCGGCCCCGAGCCGGGTGGTGGGGAAGATGAACCTGCAGGAGGGCAGAGAGGCACGTGACCAGTGGTGCTCAGGCGACCGTGGGGTGCGGTCAGGGGACGAGGTCCGACGCAGGGACTCTGGGACTGGGGCCCTGGACCATCCCTCTGTGCCTCAGTTTCTCCCCTGCTGGTCTGAGCTCACTACTCGGGCATGGGACAAACAGAACTATTCATTCCTGCACATGGGAGAAAGCTATTTTGCTGTCCTTAGAGAAAAGAAATTAATAGTAATAAAACCCACAAGGCAAGGATTTCAGAGGTGACCCTTAAAAGGTGGGGCTTGCTGGACTGTGTCCTCCCTAGGGGACACCAGTGCCGAGACCCAGAGACAAAGGCCAGACAGTTCAACGCCTGGAGGAAGCTCCAAGAACTGAGGTTTGAGTTGACCATGAATTTGAGATCCCAGTCAGTCACATGAAGGGTGCCTAAAACAGCAGCTGAGACTGAAATAGAACAATTACGGGGCTGAGGTGAACGGCAGGTGAGGGTGGGCGGGGCCTGGGGATAGTGACAGGAAAGGCTGACAATGATTGAAAGCCGGCCAGGGGCCGACAACGCCAACAGCAGCTCCGCCTGCATTGCATCCTTCCATCCTTACCCACTCTACGTGCTGGGAGCGAATGCCCAACGTGACACATGAGGAGACAGAGACTGGGAGAGGTCAGCCATGTGTCTCGCCTGCAAAACAGAGACCATGCCCAGTCCCGAGGGGTAGGGTGAGGACTGGGGCACGGGATGCAGGGAGGGTTCTGGGCAAGCAGGAAACAATGCCTGGCGGTGGGGGTTGCTGCTGCTGCTGTCCTCAAGGGAGACTGCTGCTTTCCGATGTCCTCCTCGAGCCCAGGTGGTTTGGGTGTGGCCAGCAGAGAAAGGACATATGGGGGAGGTTTGCCCCAGCTCTGCTCAGGGCTACAAGGGACCAAACCAAGTCCTCAGGTCTCCTAGGATGGTGCACACTCCGGCTAGAGACAAAAGGCTGTCCAAGGAAGAAATCCCTGTTAGACGGGTTGGCATTGAGTTTCCCTTGGCCAAGGACAGGCAAGGAGGGAAGAAGAGGCCGAGTATGCTCTCCTCCACTAGGCCCAGCCTCTCTACCCAGGAATGGGCTTCAAGGCCCAGGCCACTTTTATTGGTCATGGTCCGCAATACTTTTTTTTTAAGATTTACTTATTTATTTGAGAGAGAGAGAAAGAAAGAGAGAAAGAGAAAGAGCACTTCCATCCATTGGTTCACTCCCCAGAAGGCCACAACAACCAGGGCTGGGCCAGGCCAAAGCCAGGAGCCAGGGGCTTCCTCCAGGTCTCCCATGTGGGTGCAGGGACCCAAGCACTTGGGCCATCCTCCACTGCCTTCCCAGGCCATTAGCAAGGAGCTAGACTGGAAATAGAGCAGCTGAGACTGAAGCCTGTGCCATATGGGATGCCAGCATTGCAGGTGGTGGCTTGACCTGCTGCACCACAACAGCCAGCCCCAGACATCAGATTCTTAAGATGATGGGGTCTGAGAAAGGTAAAGAAACTTAAACTCATAAAGTCACAGAATGTTAGGAGTTGGTATGGATGGAGTGTAGGGATCATGAACAAAGGTTAGAGTTGGGTGGCCTTCATTCAAATCCCAACTCCACTGTGGGTAATAGCTGTGACTCTGGGTAAGTTCTCCCTCCTCCCATGCCTCAGTCTCCCCACCTAGAATGTAGAGCAGCAGTGTCCACACCCCTCAGGGTGGCGGAAGCACTGAATGATCATGGCTCCAGCTCAGGTCTCAGCCAGGGAGCCCAGCATGGGAATCTCGGCTCTCAGGTGCGGGGTGAGGCCCTGTGCGGGGTGGGATGTAGCGAGTGCTGGTGACCTTCCGGATCCTGCGCTTCCGCCCTGGACACTCAACCAGCTGCAGATCCAAGATACACTTCAGAACAACCGGGTCTGTACCCAACACGTACTGGCCTTTTCTTCTTGTCACGGTTCCCTGAGCTGTTTACATTTCCTTCACTGGTGCTTGGTATTAGATGTCAGCTAGGGATGATAAAGTCTGCAGGAGGGTGTGCATAGGTTATAAGCGTATACTTTGCCATTTTGAAGGAAGAAACTTGAGCCTCTGAGGACTTTTGTATCCTCGCGGGGTCCTGGAGGCAATCCCGGCAGACCCTGGGGTCAGCTGGATGGGAGTGGGATGCACGATCACTGGATATTTTTTTTTATTTAATTTTTTTTGACAGGCAGAGTGGACAGTGAGAGAGAGAGACAGAGAGAGACAGAGAGAAAGGTCTTCCTTTGCCGTTGGTTCACCCTCCAATGGCCGCCGCGGCTGGCGAGCTGTGGCCGGCGCACCGCACTGATCCGATGGCAGGAGCCAGGTGCTTCTCCTGGTCTCCCATGGGGTGCAGGGCCCAAGCACCTGGGCCATCCTCCACTGCACACCCGGGCCACAGCAGAGAGCTGGCCTGGAAGAGGGGCAACCGGGACAGAATCCGGCGCCCCGACCGGGACTATAACCTGGTGTGCCGGTGCCGCTAGGCAGAGGATTAGCCTAGTGAGCCGTGGCGCCGGCAATCACTGGATCTTAAGTAAGGGAGTCACAGAACCTTGGGACTAGAGGTTGTGGGGTCTTGATGACACTGAAGCAGAAAATCGTAGTTGCAAACCACAATCTCATAGATTTAGAGATCTGGAGGAATCTCCCACTAGTGACTTTCAAATCTTTTGCTGCAGCTCTTGTGTAAGAAGTCCTAACACCATATCCCAGTTACAGACCTGTGTGCAGCTAGACATAGAAACACTGAAACAGGGCTGGCAGTGTGGTGCAGTGGGTTAAGTCGCTGTGTGAGACCCTGGCATCCCCTATCCGAGTGCCAGTTCAAGTCCCGGCTACTCTGTTTCCCATCCAGCTGCCTGCCGTGTGCCTGGGAAGGCAGCGGAAGATGGCTCAAGTATTTGGGCCCCTGCCACTCACATGGGAGACCTGGATGGAGTTCTGGGCTCCTGACTGCAGCCTGGGCCAGTCCCAGCCATTGCAGACATTTAGAGAGTGAACCCACAGATGGAAGATCTCTCTGTCTCTGTCTCCCTCCTCCCCCCACCGTCACTCTGCCTTTCAATTAAATAAGGCTTTTAAAAAACTGAAATCCAAGTTCGCAAGGGGCTGCATGGTGTCTTCCTGGGGCAGGTCTAAGTTGTCTATTTCTTTTCCTGCTGCTGGTTTTGAGCCACTGCCCCAACTTTACTTCCTGCCCCTGAGTCACCACCCAGTTTGCAAACCACAGATCCAGTCCAGTCTCCTTCCTCAAGCCCCAAGCAAGCCTGCTGGCGAAAACCCGGCTCCTCGGAGCCCTGACATCGGTTTTGGACCTGAAAGGATTTGAGGGTCACGTTCCCTTTCCAGCCCTCCAGGGCGGGGCTGCGTGTAGGGAGCAGGGGGCCCTTTCAGAGCGTGCAGGGGGACTTGACCGTTCCTGACTCTCTGGGGGTGCTCTTATGGGAACAACTGGAAGACCCGGGGCCCTGGGGAGACACAGAGGAACCGAGACATCTCAGCTGCAGACTGTGTGCGCGGGCCCAGGGAAGGGCGCGGCTGCACGCACGTGCCGTCCGAGCTGTTGCTGTTGGTGCTGCCGTCCGTGGACTCGCGGCTGCCCTGGCGCGTGACCCGGCTGCGCATCTCCACGGCGATGCCCGTCTCCGTGCTCCGGCGGATGTTGCTGCGCAGCTTCTTGGTGGCCCCTTCTGCGACCCCGGCACCAAGCACAGAGAGGAAACAAGGTCAGGTCACAGAGGAGGCTTCTCGGAGAGCAATGCCAAAGTCACCGTCTCGGGAGGGCAGGGGCATTGCTGCAGGGGCTCAAAGCTGCTCTGCAGCCCGCCCCCCTCCCCTGCCTAGACCAGCCGCGCAGACAGAGCACGCTCATCCGGGGTTCTGGACTCACTGCTGGCATGGTAGGAGACCGCGGGAGTCGCCAGACAGAGCCCCAGACCTGCAGCCCTGCGGCCCTCACCCTCGTCCTCCCGGGGCTCCCATGAGGCCACCCTCCCACTCCTCGAGAGCCTTGGCCCCAGGGGTTAAGTGCTCTTCCTGCCTCTGTCTCCTGGAAAGTTCATCTTCTCTAAGTTTTATCGCCCTTATTCCAGTTACCCTCCCACCTCTCTGACACCTTCTCAGATAGGCCCTATCAACACCCCTCCCCGAAGGCTGGCCACTCTCAACCCTGCCTTCTCCAGGTGGGTCTGACCATGGGGGCGGGGGTGGAGGGCAGGTGACTGGGGAGCTGGAAAGGCCATTAGGGAAGCAAGACTGAGGAGAGGGTCCGCGAGCTTGACCTAAACTGACCTCAGCGGTGCAGAGAGCGCCCACTCCTGTGAGGAGGACCCCTCCCCAGCCTTGTAGGGAACCCAGGGCCCTTTCTTCTCTAAGCATCACCATACTGCCTGGGTTTCCATAGCAACTTCCTCGGCATTGCTTTGCAATCCCTCCAGACTCGTTGGGGCCTGGGTTGGGGGTGGGGGGCGGGGTGAGGGTTTGCAGGGACTTCCCCTAGCTGTGGCGTGGCTGCTGGAGGGGTGTGGTAGGGAGAAAGTGGCACTCACATGGGAGGTATCCAAGAAGCTACTGGCTGTCACCAGTTAGAGGCCCAGGCGAGCAGCCACCCCCTCCTTCATTCTTCTGGGGGCAGTTCTGACCCATTTGGAAGCAAACAGACTTCTTAGATAAGACTTGCCCAACCCAACATGAGTCCTGGAGTTGGGGAGTCACAGGATGCTGAAATGCTAGAGATACCTCCACCAGGACCCCCCCCCCCATTTCATAGATGGGGAGCCTGAGCTCTGACTAATAATAGAACTGGGACCAAGACCCCAGGCCCACAGACTCCCAGTCTATGACACACTGCTCCTCAGTCCCCTCCCTGCACCACATCTATGTGAGATGTGACTCAGCAGTGATCCGTGTCTTCAGGGTGAAGAGAAAGGTCTTGCAAGCTTGAGTAAAATTCCTCTGCTGGCTTCTCGCTTGTCCAGTCTCAACCCCCGTTGATCTGGGCAATAACTGTATGTAGCTTCTCTCTTGGGAGCCAGGCCAAGTTGTTTGCATTCTGTAGTCCCTAGGGACTGAAAGACTCCAGGAACCATTCCATCTGCCCCTTCACATATGAGAGGACAGGATACAGCCTGCGGCAGCAGTCACCATAACATCTTCTGGAATGGTCCAGAACATTCTGCCCACCCTCACCCAGGGTCCACAAGGGGAAGCCGCTGTCCCTGGTGCTGAAAGGATGAGCTCCACATCAGCAAAGGCTACTACAGCCCCCAGGGGCCCTATGTCGGCCCTGCCTAATGCCTGGGCAGCATTCACTTGTGCCCCAGAGCTCTGACCTCACCCTCCCTACTGGCCCCACAATTTGGAGAATATTAGATTTAGGAGGTAGCTGGGACAGAACATTTTTAGCTCCATTATACAGATGTTGAAACTGAGGCCCCCATAGGAAAGCAATTTATCAAGGTCCCATGGAGAGTTACAGAGCCAGGACTGGCCCTCTAAAATATCAGGAAATATCCACTCCAGGGTTCCTTGAGGAACATACTGGAAGGGAGCAGGCACGAAGCAGGAGGACTAGAGAAGAGGCTGGTGAGGTAGCCCAGGCTGGATAATATGAGTGCTGGACCCAGGACAGAGGCCCTTCAATAAAGAGAGATGGCAGGGCTCTGGCTAAGGGAAGGTACATAAAAAGCAGGAGAAAGAAGGACCAGAGGGGCCAGCACCACGGCTCACTAGGCTAATCCTCCATCTGCGGCGCCGGCACCCCGGGTTCTAGTCCCGGTCAGGGCACCAGATTCTGTCCTGGTTTCCTCTTCCAGTCCAGCTCTCTGCTGTGGCCCGGGAAGGCAGTGGAGGATGGCCCAAGTGCTTGGGCCCTGCACCCCATGGGAGACCAGGAGAAGCACCTGGCTCCTGCCATCAGATCAGTGCTGTGCGCCAGCCGCAGCAGCCATTGGAGGGTGAACCAACGGAAGGAAGACTTTTCTCTCTGTCTCTCTCTCTCTCTCACTGTCCACTCTGCCTGTCAAAATAAATAAATAAATAAAGAAGGACCAGAGGCCAGTCCCTCACTTCCCAGCCCTGCAGGGAATGGAGCCGTCCCGCCTGGGGCAGCAGGGGGCACTCTTCCAGGATCTTTGTCAGGAAGAGCTTCCAGGGCCAACGCCCATGGTGAATCCATCACATCCCTCTGGTGCCAGACTCTCCCGTCCAGGAGGGGCCTCTGAGATAGGACACTGGTATCCTCCAGGGGAAAGGAACTCTAGATGGGAGAGGAGCATGCCACAGAGAAGGGGCGGGGCTAGAGGCCAGAGAACTCACTTCTGTTTGGACTCAGTTGTGACGGGGGTAACAGTCATGGCACTGACACTTTGCCCAGTGTTGGTCACATGCCAGGCATAGGGCCAGGTGCCACTGTGTACCCTGGGCAGCTCTGCAAGGCATGCATTATCATCATCATTTGCAAACACAGAAGGAGGCTCAGAGGGGCAAAGTGACCAGCCTGAGTCCTCCAGCTAGGAGAGGCCAGGGCACAGGGTGTGGCTCAGGGGGCCACCATGAGGTCATTTTCTGGGAAAGCGTTTTCTCTCCAGGCTTTGGAGGCTTATTGATCAGATGAGAACCTTGCACAGAGGATCTCAAGGGGCCCTTCCTGCTCGGACAGTCAGTGATGGGATGATTCACAGGCCTCAGCAGAGTCCCCTGCTCAGGCTCCAGGCCCTCAGCCGTGCCCTTCCGGTCCACGAGACAAGCAATCCAGAAGCACCAGCGTCACCCATCTCCTCTTGAGGCAAAAGGTCTTCCTGGTGTCTGCTCCAGGCTCTGCCTGCTGGCTGTGAAGTCTCAGCAAATCATGGCGATGTCTCCCAAGGACTCAGCCCCTGCCTTGGCCTTGGAAGAGAGACGGCCCCTCCAGATCACTGCAGGGCACAAAGGCTTCAGGTCTGAAGCTGCATCAGATGGATTCCAGGGCCGAGTCTCCTGGAGCTGGGCTCTTGCTGTTCAACACCTCCTCAGCCTCCTGATCTTTATCCCCTATCCCTAATCCCAGCTCTCCTTGTCCCGGCTCAGCTCCAGGAGCCACATCCATATCTCCATCCGCCCATTCACAGGGGCCATGCCCACCCCAGGGCGCTTCCCCATGTAGCCGTTCCACAAACCACAAACTACGCCACAGTTTGATTGCTGGAAAAGACCATCCCCCGTGCTCCCCATCCAGGGTTCTGTGATCATCTATTTTAAGGCCTGGAAGTGCCCCACCCCCAGCCCCAACTGCAAGTCTTAATGCCCATTCTCTCTGGATCCTCTGGTGCCCCATCACCCCATCCCAGCTTCCTCTTTGAAGGTTTCTTGAGGAAGTTGTTACTCCGAGCAAAACATTCAGGAAGAGATTTTAGAGTAAAACCAGCTGGTGTCTGGGCTGAAGCCGCCCAGTGAGAAGGGCTTGGTGGGGAAGGCTGGCTCCTCTGTGGTGTGAGGGCCAAGGTGGCTGAGTGACAGTGTGGGTGGTGCCTGGCTCTGGGCACAACTGGGATTCCATCGCTAGGTGCCTGAGAAGGTACACAGCATTTCTCAGGATGTGGCTGTTGAGGTGTGTGAGAACACACATGTGTACACATGTGTGACGTGTCTCCGATCTGGAGGTATGCGTCTGTACCGTGGGATCTGTGCTTGTGTGACTGGCGTGACATGGTTTTGCAACCATGAACAGTGCGAATGACAACTGTGCTTCCCTGGCAATGCGAGTGGCCGGCGTGAGCAGCAGAACACTCGCTGATGTTATTGTGTGAGCCATGAATCTCCATGGGACTCTCCCTTTGACTTTAGAATGTGCACATGTGACTGTGTCACGGTATCCATGTGACTATTGGCACTTAGGAGGCTGAGAGATCACAGGTAAGAGAACTTTTGGAGGATGGTGTTGTGGCACAGCGGGTTAAGCTGCCACCTACATCCCATATGAACACCGGTTTGAGTTCCAGCTGCTCTGCTTCGGATCCAGCTCCCTGTTAATGCCTCTGGGAAATCAGCAGAAGATGGCCCAAGTGCTTGGAGCCCTGCACCCATGTGGGAGACCCAGATGGAGTTCTGGGCTACTGATTTCAGCTTGGCCCATCCCCGGCCATTGTGGCCATTTAGGGAGTGAACCCATGGATGGAAGATCTCTCTCTCTGTCTCTCCTTCTCTCTCTGTAACTCTGCCTTTCAAATAAATCTTTTTAAAAAAGAAAGACAACTTTGAGGGGGAAGGGTTGTGTATCTGAAAACAGTGGTGTCACTGCCCACACCGAGAGGAACACAAAACCGTTAACGTAGTTCCCAGCGAATGTGAGTCTGTGTGTGGACACAGCCCAGCGTGAGGGTTGGCAGGAGAATGAGGATGCCCAAATGCTAGGGTCGGAGCCCGGATCCATTCCTTCTCTGAGCCCCGTGAGGATCAAGTGCACAGGACAATCCCTGTGCATTCTGTCACTGCCAAGTGCCCCCAGCCCCAAGCCCCATGTCCACGCCCTCACCAGGCTGGGGGAGCTGGAGAGTGCTCTTGCTCCACTGCGTCAGACCCACGATGGCCACCATCTTGGCGCCCAGGCTGCTGCGCCGCTTCTTGGCGGTGGTGGTCCCAGCCCCGGCCCCAGCTTGCTGGGATCCGATTTCGCCGCTGATGCTGGAACTCCGCACCACGTTCCTGGAGGTCCCAGCCGAGGCCGGACCCGGCTCCCCGTTAAACATGGTCCCCCGGGTGGCGGGGCCCCAGGCAACCCTGAAGGTAGGAGGGAGACAAAAGGATCCCACATCAGACCCAGAGACTCTAGGGCAGCCCCACCACTTCCTAGCTGTGTGAACTTGGGCAAGTCACTGAGCCTCTTTGAAGCTGAAATGCTTCAAGCAATGAAGCCATGCCAAGGGTGGGCACAGGGTCGGCCTCAATAAATGGGACTGCCCTGTTATCGCGTGGCTGGGAGGGCCTGGCAGGTGACCTAGTCTGTGAGGACCAGAGCTGTGGAGTCAGGTGGCCAGGCCTTGAACACCCAGGACCTCCACATGCTGGCCACGAGCTTCCTTGTGACGAGACATTTTGCGGTTGCAGCGAACACATCAGGAGAATGAGAACTCCAACCCCTTCCTCCTGGGAGAGTAGTGAGGATTAGATGAGATGGTGCATGGAGCGTGCTGGGACCCACGCAGGTAAAAGAAGTACCCAGCAAGTGCCAGGGATGGCCGTCTTCACAGCAGGCCATCAGAACAGCCAGTGGGGCCAGTGCAGCAGTGCAGCAGGCTAAGCCACCGCTTGCGATACCAGCATCCCATATCAGAGCAATAGTTCAAGTTCTGGGTTCCTCTGATCCAGCTCCCTGCTAATGTACCTGGCAAGGCAGCACAAGATGGCCCAAGTACTTGGACCCCTGCAATCTATGTGGGAGACCAGGATGGAGTTCTTGGCGCCTGGCTCCTGGCTTTGGGTTGGCCCAGCCCTGGCTGCTGTGACCAGGAGAGTGAACCAGTGGATGGAAGATCTCTCTGTTTTTCCATCTCTCTCTATCATTGTGCTTTCAAATAAAAAAAATATTGAAAAAAGAATAAGAAAGAAAGACATCAGGGAGGACAAAACCTGCCCCAGCCTGTGCAGATGGTGGAAGGACCCCTTCCACCTGAAGGGATTGGTCCAGAAAAGCCACCCACCCTTCCCGATGCCACTGAGACAGCCACCTCATATGAGCTTTTTAACACGCTTCCCCCAGTCTTCCTCCTATAGACTTAAAAAAATTTTTCACTCAAATAAAAACAATCGTACTGAAAAACAGTTTTATATCCCAGCACACTGCATCTGATGCATTCCCCAATGTCATTAACACTTGGTATAAATGATTTAAGGCCACCCTAGTAGTCCATTGTATAGAGGTAGCACAACTGACAACTATTTCAATATAGTTATCTCCTGAATCAGACACAAGTTCTCTCCTCCCTCTCTTTTAAACACACATGTCAATAAACACCTTTCCACACTGGTTTTGTCTGCTTATGTCCTTGGGACTGATGTCTAGAAATGGAATGGCTGAGTTGGAGGTGTGGGTACCACTGGGAGCCTCCCTGGCACATCCAGCCCCCGCCTGCTTCCTGGCAGAGCACTGGCTTTGCCCAGATGCCAGCCCCTGGCTTGTTGTAGTGACCCAGCCTAATGAGTTTAAGGCAATCAATGGATGGCGTTCACCTGGGGTCCAAGGGTGGACAGATGACCACATTGGCTCAGTTGGACTTAGGGGAAGATTCAAATCCGATGCCTGCGGGGGGGGAGGGTCTTTCTGCCTACCTCCTCCTCTTTCTCCCCCACGAGCCCTCCCCAAAGAGATGACCCATCCCTAGGATCAATACAGTAAGGCTGAGGACAGCACAGCACCCAGACAGAAGGGGCCAGAGGCCATCCCTGGAGTCTGCCTTTCTCTGAGCTCCAGTTTTGAGAGATAATTTATTTTCCATTGCTTAGGCCAGTTTGAAGCAGATACATCCAAAAGCATCTTGCCTGGTACCAGGGCTTAAGTAGTCTTTGGGCTCTTGGAACATATTTCCCAATTCCTTTCCAGAGTATAGAGGTGTACTCTTCCCATTAGCCTCAGCTACAAATATTTAAGCCCCCGAAATCCCAAGACCAATGCTGAGTGCCAAGGACATGGGTAGTGAACCAGGCTGACCCAGTCCTGCCTTCCCAAAGGCTCCAGTCTGGAGACAGACAGTAAATAACTAATTATACAGCCAAGTGTTTCATGGTGGCTACCGTAAGTACAGGAAGAGGAGGACGGAGGCCTCTGAGAACACTCTGGAGCAGGGAAGCGAGTGTCTCTGGCTGCTTTGTGCCACAGCAGGGTCCACAGCTGTCTGGACAGAGCAAAGAGCAGAGCCAGCCGCTCGGGCGTGCACCGTGCCCTGCGCCGTCCAGGCTGCATCTCGGCCCCCAGTGCTCCTCCCAGGGCAGCTGCCCACCCCATGGCTATGGGCACTGCTCGACCCTCTGCCATCAGGCCTGTCACCCCGAGGGAGTCTGACTTTTCAAAGGACACAGCAAGGGAGGAAAGCTGGGGGCGGGGGCGGGGGTGGGAGGAGGGTACCACTCTTGCCGAGGAGCAAGACAGTCCCCAGGCAGCTGAGAGCGGTCACCTGGCCTCCAGGTCAGCCTGGCTCCCGCAGGCCTGGCAAATTAGGGCTGACAGAGGAGATGAGTCAAAGCCGACTGACTGCTCCTGCTCAGCCTGTGCCGTGTGCAGAGACCCGGATTGTATTTCTCCACCCGCCCCCCATCAGACTCACCACGAATGGAACATGCCCCTGAACCTTGGCCTGGGATAATCTCTTTTCTGCAGTTTCCAATTCGAGTGCCAGTCCTTGTGCTTTCTTGGGTGTCTGCTTGGCCCTTTGGTAGAAGGTGGGACAGGGGGGTCTGATACCATGCACCTGCCACAGCAGACACCCAGCTGGCTCCTCCCAGTATTTCTGTGGGGCATACAGTTCTCACCACGCTGCAGACGAGCAAACTGCCTCTCCAAGAACAAAGGACTTGCCCGTTCTGCTCAGCTAAGAAGCGAGAAGGCCTGGACTCAAACCCAGGTCTCCTGTTTCCACAGACCGACACCCTCAGCAGCCCCTGTCCCCAGGGCTTTATCCAGAGGGCTCGTTTCCTGAAACTCATGCTCTGCCCAGCAGCTGTGCACTATTTGAGAAAACTGCAAGGGAAGGGTCTACTATGAGAAGCCCCCGCTGTGGGCCAGGTTCCCACCGCTGGGGTGAGCATCCCAGGGCAGCGGAAAGCCCACCCAGGTCACAGCTGGAGAGGCAAGTGCTTCCTGCACAGCCTCCTGGCAGCCTGAGCGCACCACCCCCAGAGGGTGAGAAGCTAAAGGGACAAAATTCCCAAGGCTGCCAACCCGGGGGCTCGTGTTTCCTCATGAATAATGGATGAAACTGACAAGAGACAGCTTGCCATCCAGGACTCTGCACCATCCGGCGCTGTGTGCGCCTCTTCAAACACCCGGGGATCATGCAGGGGGCCTGGAGCACTCCAGAGTGCTTGTGGGAACCCAGCCTGCAGGCCACTTCCCCAAAGGGGGCTTCTCTGGGTCTCAGCTGCCTCAGCCGTGTGCTATAAGGAGTCGGATTCAGTCCTCTAGGCCGGAAGGCTGAGCATGAACTTGTGCTGCAGCGGACGCTCCGGAAGGGAGTCCAGCGCCTTCTCTGGCAGCCAGTTGAGCTCAGGAAGAGCAAACCAGCCGTGCGGTCACTCCCAAGCTGTGAGACCACGGGCAGGGGGAAGCGAGGAGGCGGGGGTGGGCGCACAGTGGGGAGAGGGCCGCAGGACGGAGGATACAGCCTGTCACCTGCTAGGGGTTCTAACCGTTGCTCAATGAACCACAGCCTTTCCAGGAAAGTCACTTCGACAATCGCTCTGCCAGGGCCAGCACTGTGGCACAATGGGTTCAGCTGCTGCCTGCAACGCCAGCATCCCAAATGAGCTCTGGTTTGAGTCCCAGATGCTCCACTTCCAATCCAACTCCCTACTAAGGTGCCTGGGAAAGCAGCAGAAGATGACCCAAGTCCTTGGGCCCCTGACACCCACAGGGGAGACCCAGATGAAGCTCCAGGCCCCCTCCTGGTTTTGACCTGGCCTAGCCCTGGCCATTGGGGCATTTTGGAGAGTGAATCAGCAGATGGAAGATCTTTCTCTCTCTGCCTCTGCCTCTCCTTTGTAACTCTGATTTGCATATAAAAATAAATAATATAATATATAGTACATATTATAATATACTATATGATATAATATAATGTATATTATTATATATAATAAATATAAATAATAAATAAATAATAACAATAAAAACAAATAAGAAAACCAAGGCCCAGAATGGGGAAGAGATGCCTTCAGGGTTGCACAGGGAGCTTCAACCCAAGTCCCCTGACTCCTAGGTCCCATGTCACCTGTCTGGTGCTCCCTCCACCCCCCTCACCTGGAAGACAGCTCAAACTCACCGAAATGAGGAGCCTGAGAGTGTGTGCTACACCACGGGGGCTGTGCCCCTCCCAGCAGCACACCACTAAGGCATTTGCACAAGGCTTCAATTAACTCCCACTTCAAGAAACAGGGTGAGGGCAGTCAGGGCAGGCTCCCGGGAGGAGGTGATCCGGTAAAAGGGTCTGGAAGGGAAGAGTAGAGCTTAGAGGAAAGGCTAGGGAAGACATTTGTCCTGAGGGGTTTCTAGTAGCTGTAGGCTATTGTATTGGATGGATTCTGGAGATAGCTGTGGGGCCCTGAGCAAATCATTTAAAGTGTCTGATTCTCTCTTTCCTCCTTTGTGAAAGGAAGTGGTCTAACATCTGGGCCCTCCCAATCTGCCTTTAGGCACTTTATTTATTTGTTCAAAAATTTATTTATTTATTATTTGAAAGGCAGAGTTACTTAGAGAGACAGAGAGAGTGATCTTTCTCCACTGGTTCACTCCCCAAATGGCCACAATGGCTAGGGCTGGGCCAGGCTGACCCCAGGAGCTAGGAGCTTCATCCAGGTCTTCCATGTGGGTGGCAGGGGCCCAAGGACTGGGAGTGGAGCAGCTGGGACTGGAACCTGGTGGCACTCACACGCGATGCTGGCAGGATCATCGCAGGTGGTGGCTAAACTCGCTGTGCCACAACGCTGGCTCCCTGCCGGCACTTTAGCGTCAGACTGCTGAACTCCACAGGAAGAACTAAGACAGGACCAATCCCCAAGGGGCTCCAGACCCCGTTCTTCCTTCGTGCATCCCCCCGATTAGTGAGGTCCGTGTCTCTCCCCAGAGGCTGTGACATGCCCAGCAGTGGGGGCAGGGGACACTCCTGGCTCTGCCCCCAGTAAGGTATTCAACTTCTCTGAACTTCCATGTCCTGTTCTATCAGATGGCAACCACCACCCCGTGCCCGACCCTTCCAGGCTGGACTCAGGATCAGGCGGGCCAGCGAGGAGATAAAACACGACAGGGTCAAACACCTAGATCTGGGGCCAGCACTGGCCTAGCAGTTAAGTCGCCATTCGGACTCCTGCATCCCGTATCAGGGTGCCCGGCTTTGAAGCCTGGCTCCAGCTCCTGATTCCAGCCTACTACTAACACGGATCCAGGGAGCCAGCAGTGATGGCTCAAGGGACTGGGTTCCTGCCACCCATATGGAAAATCTGGGTGAAGTTCCTGGCCTGGCTCCTGGCTTTGGCCCAATCCAGGTCATTGCACTCTTCTGGGGAGTGAACTAATGGATGAGAAGTCTGTCTGTCTGTCTCTCTCTTGCTCTCTGCTTCTTAAATAAGAAATAAAACCTAGATCAGCCATTGACAAGCCGTGACAGAGGGTTTCTGTAACAAACTCCATGAGCCTACACAAGGTAAAAGACTGTCCAGTTGTTAGCTCTTACTGGCCTGAAGCCCACAGCAGGTGCAGCCATGTTAGGGGAGGGTGCAGAGACTAAGAGGACAGCCTCCCACTGAAGCCCCAGGTGCTGCCGGGTCAGCGTGGGACTAGGGTCCTGCTGCTCTCAGTTGAGGAGGAGAACCATGAAGCTGTGCCAGCCTCTCAGCTCTAGATCCCTTGCTGGATTGCTGGGTCTGGCATTTGAGACTCCTGCCCCACCCCTAAGCCAGCACCAGGCCTACCTCCCACATCCCCCACGGGTTGTGTCAGAGGCCAGGGCCTGCATCCAGAGAGGGGGCGTGGGGGACCTCTGGGCTCTAATGCTTCCCTTCCTCACCTGGTGAGAGATGGGAGTAATGGGGGTCGGTGTGGGTCGGGAGGAGCAGGCTGGGCCATGGAAGCACACCCAGCCAGAGTAGGCAGCACCCCGATTGTGTGGACCTTTGTCACCCCAGTCCAGGCTTGCACATTCACACACACACACACACACACACACACGGGGAGAGCCACCACAGGGCATATCACACACAGCCACACATGTGACACACGACATGTGTCCATCACACATGTGCAGATACTCACCTCTCTCCTAGCTACCCACTCACATAGAGGCACAGAGAAGCTGCTAGCGGCGCCCACACACTCACAAGTGCATTCCCAAATGCACACACTCACCCCCACAGCCCCTGCCCAGAGAGGCCCCAGGCTTCCAAGGCAGGGCAGCAGGACGCGTCTCACCCTGAGCGCGGGCTGCTTCGGCGAAAGCGCACGCACCGGCTCGGAGCAGGCAGCTGCGCCAGCTTGAACACTCACGCACTCAGACACGCGGCAGCCCGCAATCTCACCCCGTGGGCCCCCGTCTCTGCCACCCTGGACAAAGGAGCTCATCGGTGAGGTCTGTGGCGAGGAGACGAGAAGGCTGGCAGGGAGCAGCTGCTGTCACCATGGCTACCAAGCTGACCCACTTCTCCTTCACCCAGCCTGGCCCACCCAGCCCGGGCAAGGCAGGCTCGGGCAGCTTCGGGCAGGTGGGTCCTCTCCCATCTGAAGCTCTGGTAAGGGATGCCTTGAGCACAGCCCTCAGGGGAGCAGGCTGCTGGAGCCCTGTAAGACCCAACACCGGGCTTGCTCCAGCACCAGGATCTCTGGCCCCAGGGAGACATGGGGCCCTGGACGCATCCCTAGGCACAATGCTCACTGCAGTGCAGGGGCTGGTGTGGCCAGGTCCCAACCTGTGTCCCCAGACTGCAAGGGCTCAGGACATCCAAGAGTCAGGCACACCCATGGCTGGGTGAGCCCTGGCCCCTGCTCAGAACAAGGCTCCTGAAGTCAAAGCTGACCCTCAGGGGTCATGGCCAGGCCTCCCTCAGCCAGGGGGCTCCTGAGGACTTGGTCTGGGACTTAGAAGAACAATGCAGCATGGACAACCCCACCTTGGGAGGAGCTTACAAAGCAGAGTGAATCTCTCCTGCTTGACCCCACCCTGTAGCTCCCCGTCTCCTTCCTTATGAAGGAGAAACCCCTTTGCAAGGCCCACAGCCCGTGTCACCTGGCTCCTGTCTTCCTCTCCCAGCTCCCAGCTTGTCCCAGGCCTCTTGCACCTGCTCTGTATTCCGGCCGCATTTGTTTCTTTTCATTCCTCAGAAGTGCCACTTTGGGCTGGTGTTGTGGCTTTAGCAGATAAAATCGCTGCCTACAGTGCCAGAATCCCATATGGGTGCCAGTTCAAGTCCTGGCTACTCCACTTTTTTTTTTTTGACAGGCAGAGTTAGACAGTAAGAGAGAGACAGAGAGAAAGGGCTTCCTTTTTCCATTGGTTCACCCCCCAAGTGGCCACTACAGCCAGCGCATTGAGGCCAGCGCACTGCGCCGATCCAAAGCCAGGAGCCAGGTGCTTCCTCCTGGTCTCCCATGCGGGTGCAGGGCCCAAGCACTTGGGCCATCCTCCACTGCCTTCCCGGGCCACAGCAGAAAGACTGGAAGAGGAGCAACTGGGACAGAATCCGGCACCCAACTGGGACTAGAACCCGGGGTGCCGGCGCCACAGGCGGAGGATTAGCCTAGAGAGCCGCGGCACCGGCCGGCTACTCCACTTTTGATACAGCTCTATGCTATGGCCTGGGAAAGCAGTAGAGGATGGCTTAAGTCTTTGGGCCCCTGCACCCACGTGGGAGACCCAGAAGAAGCTCCTGGCTCCTGGCTTCAGATCGGCCCAGCTCTGGCCATTGTGGCCAATTGGGGAATGAACCAGCGGATGGAAAAGACCTCTCTCTCTCTCTCTCTCTCTCTCACTCTCTGTCTCTCCTTCTCTCTCTGTGTAACTCTGACTTTAAAATAAATAAATAAATCTTTTAAAAATTTTTTTAAAAAGTGCCACTTTGCCTTCTGTCTGCGCAGAACCCTGCTCTCCAGCCCATGCCCACTCCTGTGCCCTGAGGCCCCACCTTTGTCTGCCCCTGGGCCTTCACCTGCCCGTTCCCTGGTTGGAGGCCATTTCCAAGGAGAGTTTTCCCAATGAGGTTGGGGTCCCCGTGGTGCTGCCCCTGCACTCCAGCACGGCCCTGCCTGCTACAGGCTGAGGTGGACTCCAGCACCCCAGCAGGTAGCCTTGTTTGGGAAGTGAGCGGCTGCAGATGTGGTTAGGTGAGACGAGGACAGGCCGGAGTGGGGTAGGTCCCTAATCCACGTGACCAGTGTCCTTAGAGAAAGACCATGGGGACAGAGCTATGGGGGAACACCATGTGACAATGGAGGCAGAGTGGAGTGATGTGTCCACAGGCCAAGGAATGCCAGCTGTCACCAGGCCTGGACCAGATCTGCCATCACAGCTCTCACCTTGGTCTCTGACCTCCAGCCTCTAGAAAGGGAGAGAATAAAGTTTCTGTTGTTTTAAGCCCAGTGTGTGACACTTTGTTACAACTGCCCTGAGAATGAAGGCTTGCTGTCCTTAACCTGTTCTGTGCCCACCTCCCAAACCCACCTGCTGGCTGGGGGCTCTGTACCACAGGAGCCATGTCGGCTCCCACACCCCAACACCTCGTCCCTGGCCAGGCCTGCCAGGGACTCTGGACATCATTGCCGAATGAGAGTGGCAATCTGCACGGCGGTATCACCAGCATGTAGAGCTGGAGAGCAGAACTCTGAGTCATTTTTATTTTCTTGATGTGACATATTGTGTTTTCTAAAGTTACTACTTTAGAAACTATATTAATGCTATAATGAAAAAACAAAAATACATATTTTTCTTTTCAAGCATATTTTATTTTATATGAAAATAGCAGACATTTCCACCAGCATGTGTTTTGTGAAGTGGGAAAAGTTCTGCTATCTGCTTAATAATTGCTTCTTGGATGACTAACTGATTGCTACACACATCGCTAGAGGACTTTCCGGCATCAGATTCACAGAGCTGGCGCTCTGGGGCCCCTCGGGGTGTGGATTACAGGAGGGGAGGAGCCCAGGCAGGGGACACATCCCCTTGGCCATCTCCACCACTCACCCCATCCCATAGTTGTGTGGCACCTGTTAGCTGCTAAACTTGACACTTGGGAATACCACCAGTCCTGGCCCAAGGCCACCCCTAAACAAAAACAAGACCCTGCCCCCATGAAAGCACCATCCAGGGCTCCTCAAGCTCATCTGTTCACACGAATGACCAGAGGGTCTTGTGGGAATGCAGATTCTGACCCCAGGGCTCACAGGTGGAACCTCAGCACCTACAGTTCCAGCAGGCTCCCAGTGATGCCCGTGCTACAGGTCCGT